CCTGGTTGCAGAAATCAGTCAAGCATGCCTTAATGGTTTTGTGATCATAAGAGCAATTGTTTCCTTAGAGCTTGTGACCAAAGATACGTTTATCTTCAGTTAGACAAAGTTCAGGCAACAAGACTCTTGATTCAGATCTTCCTCTGAGAATTGAAGTTTATGTGACAGGATATGTGGGAGGCTGGCCTCTGGCCTATGTGTGAGATCATATGAACTTCCTATAAATATTCTACTTCCTTAAGGGAAAAACAGGAGAGTGGAATATCCAAGTAGTATATATACTGCTCAAAAAAATAAAGGGAACACAAACGTATAGGATCCTATACGTTTGTGTTCCCTTTATTTTTGTGAGCAGTATAGTATTACTCTGCACCAAAAATTTTTAGAAAAAATACCAATATATACTGCACCTTTATAAAGATTCTTCATAATTCAGGAAATTAAAGCATGTGCATATTTTGTTTTATTTTGCAATTTTTTATGCAGAGTTCTTCTTTCAGCCTACTGAACAGCATTTATTAAACATAATGTTTATTTAAAACTTATTTATGTTTCCATAAAAGCTGAAAGGGAAGAACTATTATGCCTAAAATAATAATGAAGTAGACTCTTAGCAACTAGATAGACCGTTTTCCTTTAGACCAGTGGTTCTCAACCTTTTTAATGCCGCGACCCCCAACCAGTCATAAGTCAAGGACTACTCAACCGGTCGTAAGTCGAGGACTACTCAACTGGTGCAGCACCGTTTGCAGAATGGGACTTTTGGCGGGCTCAGCAGGGCAGAGACAGCCTGGACAATTCCTATTGGCTTTTGAAAGCCAATAGAATTAGACTCTATTCAAGAGAGTCTATTCTATTGGCTTTCAAAAGCCAATAGAATAAAAGGGAGTAGCACAGCTAAGGAAAAGGGGGGGGAAATGGTGGACTGCGTTGTTTGGCGACCCCCGTGAGATCGTTGTTCGACCCCAAATGGGGTCCCGACCCACAGGTTGAGAACCACTGCTTTAGACTGATCTGTCCCCAACCGAAATCTATGGAGTGAACTCATTTGACCCTGTAATTGAGTCCATCCACTTTGCTGGTAGTTATCATCTTTTTGTTTTTCCTTCTTCTTTTTCCAGCATTATACAGTAGACTTATCAAAAGAGTTAGATCTTCTCACAATGGGGCCAAAATATTATAATTTAGGCCTGCTCTCTCATGCCTTGGGTGAGAATTTTAGATGGATTTGTTGTATAATTCATTTCTTTGTTCCTTAGCTATCTGTAGTCTCAGGAATCTTAAGCAACACCAAAAAGTTGATATTCTTCCTACCTTCTTAAAAATCCAACTTTTATTCCATAGATTGTCTCGGGGAAAATCATTTCTTGAATAATTCTGATCTTTGTAGGCATAGACACCTCACAGTATTAGAATATCTTTTCCAAGGCAGTCACTGCTACTCTACTAAGTGCTAGTTTGCAACATACTTTTGATTGCTGTTCATTTACTTTTGATAGACAATCCCAATAGGTAGACAATCCCAATAGCTATCCACCACTTCAGTATCTTCACTGTCAGTTCTAAGGCTGGTTGATGTACCTGCGGTCATAGCTTGTTCTTCTATATATTTAATCTTAGTCTTCATTTTCAGGGTTATTGAATTTCATTATTAGACATTGCACTACTTGCATTTTCAGCTAATTTAAATGTTATCAAATAGTATATTGATGCTCCTTCCTCCACCTTTAAAACCACCCTGATCTTCAGGTCCGGCTCTCCAAATCTTATAAAATTATAGCTGGAATTAAAACTATAAAAACCCATTGTCTTTAAAATTAAAAACAGATTTACACAGATTTTTAATTTCCCATTTCAAAATGGTGAGAAATAATATAACAGAATTTTTGACCAGAGCTGTCCACCTTCTGGTTTAACCTCTTGTGTGAACTTAACTTAGTTTATTCAACAAATCATTGTTTAAAATATATGAACTATCGTTCATTCTCTTTCTGGTTGCCTCTCGCTCACACACACACACACACACACACACACACGCAAACAGAAAGTTGGTCACCATGATGTAAAAAAGATGTTGAGACTAGAAAGAGTACAGAGAAAAGTAACAAAGATGATTAGAGGACTGGAGGCTAAAACATATAAAGAACAGTTGCTGGAATTGGGTATGTCTAGTTTAATGAAGAGAAGGACTAGGGGTGACATGATAGCAGTGTTCCAATATTTCAGGGCTTGCCACCAAGAAGAGGGAATCAAGCTATTCTCCAAAGCACCTGAAGGCAGGACAAAAAGCAATGGATGGAAACGAATCAAAGAGAGAAGCAACCTAGAACTAAGGAGAAATTTCCTGATAGTTAGAACAATTAATCAGTGGAACAACCTGCCTCCAGAAGTTGTGAATGGTCCAACACTGGAAGTTTTTAAAAAGAGACTGGACAACCATTTGTCTGAAATGGTTTAGGTTTCCTGCCTGAGCAGGGGGTTGGACCTCCAAGGTCCCAACTCTATTGTTGTTGTTGTTATTAGAGAACTTCCTCTCTTCCAAAGAAAATAATGAATCATCCCTCCTCCATCTCATTCAGCCCCAGTCCTTCCTACTCTCCAGTCACTGCTAGTTACACTTTTTAAAATTTGCATATTAATTGCACTCATACAAATATTAAATGTAAGCCTTCCTTACCCATATTTCCAGGATAAGAAAAACCCTAGTACTTTATTTATATGTGCATAATACTTATTTCAATTTTATACCACCTGCTTCAAATACTCTAGAGATGATAAAGGACAATAGAGATCCTTGATGGTCTTTGAGCTTGCTTGTTTTCTTGCAGAGATTTCATTATCCAAACTGGGTAACATCATGACTAGTACTGATGATGTTACCTAATTTGGATAATGAAACCTCTGCAAGAAAACAAACAAGCTCAGAGACTACCAAGGATCACTCTAGAAATGCCCTGATGCTCTGGAACAGACATCCTTTTTGATTGGATGCCACCAAATGAATGAGTCAGAGTTCTACTAGTTATGCTTTAGGCCAGAGGTATCAAACTCTGACATGTCGTGACATATTGTGACTTTTTTTCCATTGCCAGCAATGGGGTGGGCGTGGTTTCACCATGACGCATCCGGCCTTTGGGCCAGCAGTTTGACACCCCTGCTTTAGGCAAAGCAAGGCCAAAAACAGCTGTAATATTTTAGGATGGTGGGATGAAAGATGCTTCATGTTAAAATATACTTCTTACCTTCACTCACATTGACCAGTGAAGACAGAACAGCTGTTCTGGTATCATCCAGCCATTCTTCTTAGTCTTTCTGTATGACTGAGACTTTATAAAAATAATTTATGTGGAATTATGTTCTTTTTACCAGATTGTCATATTCTGTCATCTGGCTCAGTTGTCTCAACAGGAACTTGGCTAAAAATAAACTTTCCCACAATATCTTCTCCACTGCATTATAAGCAAAATACCTTTACTACTTGCAGCTTTTTGCTGCATTGTTCATGAAGTATATTTATACAAAGCTGTCCTTCTGTTTAATGCAATATAAACCCTTTAAAGAAAGCTAAAAAACCTGCTAATGAAACCCAGTGGAATAGAACAGAGAAACAATTGGTTTGCTTGGTGTTAAAGCAACAGAGGAAAATTAACTCTGTATGTGTAGATAGGAAGAGAAATAAGCTTGTCAGAAATATGCAAGAGCTGGCAAAAGGGGAGTGAAACATTTTTTAAAATCAACAGTAATAATCTAACTTTTGGAAGTGACTCAGGCAGATGCCAACCTTATTTAGTGAAAGGGAGGGTCTACAACATTATCAGACTTGCAAGATTGGCCATTAGGTAGACCAGACCAAGAAATCAAGCCCATAGGAAGGCTAAAATTGCTTTTTGTGGAGATTGGCTATAGTAATAGAACCTTGCAAGCTTGTTTGTATTGTATCTTTTGCCTAGGTAATAGTTCTTGCCTATTTCTGTTAAAGTTGTCTCCTTATTCTTTAAAATATTTCCTTCAGATCTCACATGTCTCTGCTCAAGTTTCAGGGATACCCTCTAATCCATGCACATTTCCTTCTTTCGGTAGAGATGTGTCTCTACCATTTCAGGGTAATATTCAAAAAAGAGTTTAGTCTTAATAGCCCACCTTTGAACATTAATAATATGTTGGAAGTAGTCTATGTGACGGGCATTATAAAAATATTTTAAGCAACAATTTTCAAATGTTAAGTCCGTGTTCATACCTGCATGTAATATTTCTAAATTAAAACAGAAATTTCAAATGAATTGTAGCACTGGGATTATTTTGCCTTTCTTTTTCATATGCACAGACTTTATATAAATATATCTGTATTTCCATAGAATCATTAGTCCAAATGTGTATGAGAATTTCATGACGTGTGTGTGTCTACACACACACTCCAGACTTTACATCCTCATCTAGTCAAGGTTGAATTGCTAAGATGCCTGATAACTTCTATCACTACTCAGCTTGCCACAGAAATACAGGAGAGGGGATAGAAAGCATTGGGAAAAAACAGGATTCTAAGAAGCTGTCCACACACCGCGAGAACCTATAAGAATGCCAAGGTCACTAGCCCAGGTGTCTGATGGAGAGGTGACTGTTCTCATAATAAACCAAAGACATATGATTGGGTAACATGAACACAGGGTGGGTGGGGGTTAAGGGAAGCTATTGTTAACTAGGCAGATTTTCGCATGGGAAAATCAGAACTGGTTTTACTACTTCAGTTCTGAGATATGTACTCAATAAAATTTTATCTTTTATGGTATTTCAAACCTTTGAAGATTCCTTGAATTTGAGCTTGCTAGTCAGATGGTTGACACCTCTTCATTTTATTGCTCAGTATAGATAAAAATAAAACATTTCTTTTACTAAGGGAAAATGTAACAGTGATTTGTATTAAATTTTTGTTGAAAATATAATTGCAGTTTTATTTAATTTAATTATAAACACTGACTTTTATGCACTTTCTTTTTATTTAGATTTTCTTTGAAATAGCATTCCAGTTCAATGTGTCTCACCTCCTGGAAAATACTATAATTCACTTTTCTGTTACAAGGTTGGTTCCAGTAATATCTACAGAACTTTAAATCGAATCAAGGTCCACTGTCTTTATTTTGGGTTGCTCCAGTGAATTTATGGAAGGTTTCCACTGAATCAAGATTGCACAAAAAAAATTAGTCTATAATTTATTTGAATAAAAGGTTAAATGGTGATATATAAAAAGAGTAAAATGAAATAATAAATTTCATTGAATGATTAAAATGTAATAAGAGAATTATAGTAAAATAATACATAAAGCAATGGTAATATGAATGGTTAAAAGGGATTAATAAAGGGTAAATTTGAAACTAATCAAAGTTTAACCAATGGCAAATATTATATTAATTTAAATGAGAAATACTGAATTGAGTTCTAACACTTGTAAATCTCATTTATAGTGTAAGTATATTTAAGTATCTGAACTATTAAATCCTAAAACAGATTCATTATCTACTACTTTAGTGGAAGGTTCAATGTTCTTATGTGATTTTCAGCTTTGGATAGAATTAAGAAAACTTAATAAAGAAAGAAAATATAAAAGGGGAAAAAAGGTTACCATCTGCTAAAGAAATTCAAAGGCTAGTATATTCTGTCCATTTATAGTGAAATAAAAGTTTAAAGGTCTTGAATTAGGGGGAAAAAGTCCTGACAGCATGTTGGGAGTGGTGCAATGGTTAGAATGCAATATTGCCAGCCAGGAGTCTGATCCTGACCAGCTCAAGATTGACTCAGCTTTCCATCCTTCCAAGGTTAGTAAAGAGAACCTAGATTGCTGGGGGCAATATGCTGACATTGTAAACTGCTTAGAGTGCTGTAAAGCACTATGGAGACAGTATAAGTCTAAGTGCTATTACCTCTAATATCAGAAAATATTTCCTTGCTTCTTTATATGAATTAATCTTTTATTGTTACCAGTATCTTGCAGTGATCCTATGATTTGATTGGCTGCTGACATTGTTAAGTTACCCTTAAATTTCATTGGTCATTGTCTGAATTCACAACGGTAGCTGATTATATCTACAAATCATGATAAACTAGCATAGATATTAATTAATTATTACACCAAAAACATTTCTTTTGGATTCCATACTTAATTGGCTATTTTGAACCTGGGCTTCCCTCTCAGCAATTAAGTTGACTCTAAGTTACACATTTTTCTTTTCTTTTCAGGTGTTCTTTTCTTTACAAATAAAAATGAAATAATTTTATAACGTAACAATAAGGCAAAACATGGGTGGGTGTTTTGATTATAATAGCTTGTCAATTAAAATAGATTGCGGTCTAAAGCAACTTTTAATATGTTTCGTTTTAGTGATAGCGATGAACTTGATGAGACTCTTGGAGATAACAAAGGAACTATTTCAATTCCAGTAAAATATGAAAGTGGATTAATATTTAAAAGGTATAACTAGATTTTAATTGTTTTTTATACTGATCATTTAGGGGGGGGGTTCGGTTCTGTTGGTAGAAAATCCCCTCCTCCCCAAAACAAGAGAGTCATGTGGTTGCATCGTTTCCTAATTTGCTCCTTAGTTCTCTTGACCATGGTTTACTAATGGCTCTTGATTCTGACTGTTGCTGAACCTCTGCCATTCTGGTAGTGCACATACTTTTTTATTCCCAATCCTGATTTTATATGGAATCCTTTAATGTAACACGCGAACACAAACACACAGACACACACACACAAACTTTATTGTTTCTGATATTTCACATCCAAAGCATGGTACTAAAGTTGGCTTTTGTTTTTACTCTGTGAAAGATCTTGAAATACAGTATTTTCGTTTTTCAGATTCTTTCACAGAAAAGAAGAAGTATCTTCACTGCAGTCTTATCACTGCAGTATCTTAATGACCAGACCATAAAACACCCTATAATATGTTATAATGATTAACCAATCATAAGTAAATGGAGCAACCAAACTGCTGAAACCAATTTTAAGTCAATAGAGCAATTAAACTGTTACACATCTTGTATATCAGAGGTCCCAACATTTTGGGCACCAGGGACCAGTTTCATGGAAAGAGGTTTTTCCGTGGACGAGACAGTGCATGGTTTTGTGTGCTTCCTGCATCTCGCGGATGGAGCTTTGCTTGGTTGTGCAGACCGGTTGCTGGCATGCATGGCCCAGTACTGGCCCATGGACCGGGGTTTGGGGACACCTGTTGTATATGACAAAAAATTGTGTATTGTATTATCTGGCTTGTTCCATCATTGAAAACATATTCAATTAATCAATGTTTTATCTTTTATTAATCTGGGGAAAAACTGCTATTTACATAGAATGGAATTAGATTATTGTGTTTCACTAGTTGGTTTAAACTGGATTAACAATTTCATACTGTATAAATTGAATGGGAAAAATTATGCATTATTCAGAAAACAAATCTCAGGTTTATTAAATTCATATTTTCTTGAACAAGAATAACACTATCATATTGCTTCATTTCATTTCATTTTGTATAGAAAACTGAAATAAGACATATGACTTCTTTGTGATTCTAAATCACTGAACATTATTTTATTTCTTTTTAAGAGAATCTAGATCATATCACATCATCATTGCTGCAAATGATACAATACCTGCAGTAATTAATTCTACTGACAGTATTGGAGAAGAAATTAATATATACTACTTGGTAAGAGACAATGCTACTTTTTCTGGTTGTGAACTTTGAAAATTAACATTTATGTGCTGTATTTTTTTAATCAGATGAATTTTTATTATGCTAGTTTGTAATAATTTCTATGAACCTGACAGAACTTTCTGCAAATGGAGCTTCTGGTCACCTGACAGATTTTTCCTATCCTGTATGTTCACCTGCACTCCTCCAAAAATCTACTGCAAAAGATACCCAGACTTTCAGGACAGATTTGGGGTGGGTGGGCATTTCGATGGAAGATCAAAATGAATTTATATTTCTGGCAGGAGCTCAGTGACAGTGATTTGGTACAGCTAGAATTCATCCATTCAAATCTGGAAGCTTTCCAGTCAACTATAAACATTTGCTAGTTATGGACACTTATTCTTCCTGCTTCATCTTTTCCCTTGAACCTATATTCGGAAGGAATTAGTAAGAGATTTAAACATATTTACAACAAACCAGAACAAGTCATTGTGTCAGTGTGGTATAACATGGCCACTGGAAATATACCATAGATCATTTATTTTCTCTACCTTAGAGATATGTTCTAGTTTAATTTATAGACTTTTGATTTCTAAGATAATGTTTAAATAATTATTTTCTTTGCATGCAAATTTGGCAAGTTGGAGATCTACTTTTATGAAATAAAATTGTACACTGTGTTATTTGTTTAGTAGGGACTATAGCACCTGTTAATAATGGGAAAATCATGTATTGGGTTTTTTTCTTTAATTAGCCTTTCATTTATTTTTTTAGATTGATAAAGGAGAACATTTCTTACAGCCACAGCTTGCACTGCAAATCTCATTTCCAAAGAATATTTCAGATGAAAACCAAATCCTTTACTTCACCAGGATATCATATTCAGAGGTAAATAGGCAAAATATAAACGAACACTGCTCTGCAGCTCAAAATTAGACTTTGATTTCCACAACACAGGTCTTTGAATGAGTAAATGTTCCATGTGTTTCTTTCCATTGGTATTTATATGGGGGGAAATGGACTCTGCTTGGCTATTATAATAAATCAGATAAAATATGAAATGTTCTCTGGAATTATCTTCTAAAAAATCTTTGATTTATCTAATGTTATAATTTAGGTAAACAATTTGTCTCTTTCTCTATATATAGTCTAAATCCAAAGAGATACATTGTCTATATCAATTATACATAACCATGGAAAACATGTGCCATGATACAAATCACTATTTGCCTTTAGTTTCGAGCATGGCTTGCCACATCAAAGAGGCTTCAGCAAACTGACTCCATTCAGTTATGTCAAACTACTATCATTGCAAGAAAAGAGATCTGCTGAACCTACTGATTGAGAATTATGGGTGTCATGTCTGGAATAATTGGATATATAACCTGGACGAAAGGAAAGGAAAGGAAAGAAGAAAAGGAAAGGAAAGGAAAGGAAAGGAGAAAAGGAAAGGAAAGGAATCCCTACAAATTTTACTTCACTAGTCACTAGGCAGCACTGTTTTTCAATTCAAGCCATGAGCCAGCACTATCCAAAGACATTTCCATGGTCATGTGGCCCGCATGATGTCCTGGACTGCTGTTATCTTGCCACCGAAGTGGTACCTATTTATCTACTCATATTTGCATGCTTTCGAACATGCAAGGTGGGCAGGAGCTAGGCAAGGACAGGCACTCACCCCATTGCAAAATGTGCACGTCTCGAATGCTTGGATCTTGGTCTTGAACCAAGTAAGGAGTTGTGGTATAATAATTAGACATTGAATTGAGGAAATAGGAATACAAACCACTTGGGCATTTGAGAGAGCCCAAAAGGTATAGTAATGAAGGTGTCAACCTGGCAGATAAGGAACCCAGGTTCATTCCTGTTTTAAACATGGAGCTCACTGGATAACAGGCTCAGTCATTATCTTTCAGTCCAAACTACTTAACAGTGATAAAAAAAAATAAAGGACATCCCTCAATGTGCACAAACGTCAACTCCAAGAAAAAAAAGTATGAGTATAACAACTGAAAAAACTGAAATATTTCTGATATATTTTAATTTTGGCCAAGTTTTAAACTGTGTTTTAAAGTTACATATTATGCTCAATTTATCCTTTTGCATACTTTATATAAAGCTTTCTTATTAATTGCAAAATTAAATATATAAAGCACCAGAAATTGTGATGCTAAAAGAAAACAATAACTGCTAAAGTAGCCCAAAGCTGCTAGCAGAGGTTAAGAATTTGTGTACTCTGATCTGTAAAAATAAAGGTAGAGGGAACTAGTGATTTGTTCTTCCCCACAGCTCCTGTGTTTCTCAATATTTTGATTGGCTTTCTGACTCATTAGAAAAAGTGACTCTGAGAACAGCTGGAGGGCAATAACTTTGGTGACAATCACCCTTCTTTCTAGCAGTTAAAGCATTCTGGCCAGAAAATAGTCAGGTGATTTATCTTTGGGAAAGACTTAGAGTTCTCTGTTAAAATTATTGCAAGATACTTATAAAATTACATTTTTCTTCTTGTGATAGAATGCAAAATGCCAATCCAGCCACCCAAATGATTTGCTAAAGATTGATATGGGCAATCCATTCACAACATCAAGAATACAAGAACCTCTAAAAGATCCCAACATAGTATGTATACCTGATTTTATGGGTTTTTTAAATAGTAAATAATACATTTTAGTGTATAACATTAAGTTGGGATTGAATTGTGATCATATGAATATAATCATATGTATATTTTTATTTTGCTAAGAACAATTATATGCAACTATAATATTCTTATTGCCAGAAATGTAATTGGAAATAATGTTTTTAAATCTATAACACAGACTTTTAAAATGTTTAGCTTTGGAAATTTGATTTTCACCATCTTTCCACATGAGGAGGTTAAAAAATGACTTTCAGTCAATGTCCATAGTGGTGTTTCAGTCAATCATCAATTAGAACAATTACCTATCATGAAAATATTGGTAGATGCCTGTTAATAAGGCTGCCGTGTGATATTTTTCACTCTAAGAGTGCCCCTTCCTGGACCTGAAGGTACTGTTCATGCCTTAGTCATTTCTCATTTGGATTTTTGCAATCTGCCCTTGACCAGCCAAAAGCTACAAAGGAATAGTGTAAGCATCTTGGTATGCCCATGTTACACCACTTTTCCATTAGTTGCAATGCTTCTGGGTTCAATTTAAGATGCTGGTTGTCACCTACAAAGTCCTTCATGTCATGGAACCAGATTATGTACAGGAGTGATTTTGGGTGGTGGTCCCAACAATGCTTTTATAAAGCATTGAAGACCTGGATGTTTTCCAAGGCCTAGGTATTGGGAGGCTAGGTTTGGAAGGTTAAATCAGTTTTTCTCTTTAAGATGTGTGGAGTTCAACTGTCGTCATTCCTTGGCCAGCATGGGAAATCATCTTAAGATTGTTAAGGTTGAGAAACAATGGGTTATATGGCCCATTGAGTATTGTTTGTTATTTGTTTTGTTTTGCTTTATTCTCAGTGACCATTGTAGTTTTTCTTCTTTGCTAATATTTCTTCTAATTGTTTTAATATGTTGTAAGTGGTACCCAAAGGCACATTCACCAGATGTGCAGCCATATATATTGATTAAACACATAACATTAGTAGAATGATCCTTACTAGGTTCAGAAACAGATTTTTATTTTATTTATTATAGCTCGCAGTGAGAGCCTTCCTGAATGCAAAATGATGAGTTTTCTGGACACTGAATGAACTTTTACTGGTGTCAGCATTGTTATTATCAGGACATTTCATATTTATTTCAGCATGACATGGAGAATGTGTCAAGTTTTCTAAAATTTTGCTATTTTGGGTAGTTATAGTTTGTAAATATATTAATGAGATGTGTCTGTGGTCTTTTATGTAGAATTGTGATAGATATGATTGTGCATCCATTAACTGCACTATAGCCCCATCAAATATTACTCATGTGAATATTTCATTCAGACTCTGGAAGCCTACTTTCATAAAGGTAAGTGAGCTATCATTTATTAAGAATTTAAAATGATATTTGTCAAAAACACATACATATTATAGGTTCATGCATCATGCTACTTGCTTGGTACTGGCTAGGAAGCTTCTACTGAAAGAAGTGTTATGCTGTTATATTAATACATAATGTGTTCAGGCAGCAAATTTTTTATTGTGATGCAAATGTTTTTACAGTTATTTCTTGATATATGTTAAATTTCATGTAATTTTATTGCTATTGTAGTTGCCATAGGCCAAATCTGAACGGAGCATATGGGTGCAAATTTTTGAAGAATTGATGGAGTTATTGATTTTCATTTATGCTCATAATTCCCAGGTGTTAGCCATATTGGGAGCATGGAAATTCAAGCTCAATAACTCTGGATGGTAACAGATAGAAGAGTAAACTATACTGAGTTTCACAGAGTGTACAATGACAGGTAGTACTCGACTTACAATAGTTCAGTTAGTGACCATTTGAAGTTTCAATGGCACTGAATAAAGTGACTTAAGACCAGTTTTCACATTTATGTCTGTTGCAGCATCTCCATGGTCACATGACCAAAATTCGTACTCTTGGCAACTAACTCGTATTTATGACAGTTGCAATGTCCTGGGTCATTTGATCTCTTTTTGTGACCTTCTAACAAGCCAAGTCAATGGGGTTAGTAACAGCTGTGTTACTAACTTAACAACTGCAATTATTCACTTAGCAACTGTGGCAAGAAAGGTCATAAAATGGCAAAGTTCACTTAACAACTGTCTCACTTAGCAACAGAAATTGTGGGTTCAATTGTTGTCATAAGTCAAGGACTACCTGTATACTAATGTGACTTAAGAAAAGGGATGTGTTTAATTCTCCTCTTATTTCCTTGTTTGCTTTCTTCCTGCTAAAGCAATGAGCAACATATCACCCACCTACATATGTTTGAGGCCAATCAAACATTACAGCATAGGACTGTAATGTTGTAAAACAATAACCTTCAGAGTTTTCTTTCTATTGCATGCCAGCAATTAATTTCCTTTCACTAAGACAGAGAGTAGAGTGAAAAGAAGAATTACCTTCTTTCCTCTAAAAGCAAATATTAATAGCACTTAAAAGTTTTCATGGATGTTGGTGGATTCTTGATTTTGAAACCAGAGCAAAGTTGTCTTTATAAAGTGATGGCTAGCTACAGTAGATACTGATAACTATTTTTCAGTAAAAGATAAGTGTTGTTAACATTCAAAGAAACAGAGACTGATCTAAACAGAAATGCAAACATTTGTTCCATCATGGCTAGGATTTCCCATTTCACCATAAGGGAGCCTCTTCCAGCAAGGCCAAGAGGAGATATAAGACAAAACTAGAGCACTGATTCATCAGAGAAATTTTCCAGGGAACTAAAGCTAAAAAGAGAATATGCCACTGAAAAGAGGGAATGTTGCCTCAGTATTAAGACACATGATAGGACTAAAAAAATCAAAGAATACAGTGGAAAAAAGGACAAAAATTACATATTAGGAAGACCAAACAGGTAGAAAAACAGCTTTAAATTTATAATGAAGATATCAAAATGGTGAAGAGCTTCTGCTGTTTAGGATCAACCATCAACAGTAAAGGAACAATCAGTTAAGGCTACTGTTTGACAGAACAACCATGAAGGTCTTGGAAAAAATATTGAAATGCTCTACTAACGTGTCTATACCTACAAACAGAATTATGTAAGCCATGATATTCCCTGTGACATGTTATGGAAGTGAAAGTTGGACTTTAAAGAAGCAGGATAGGAAAGTACTGATACCTTTGAAATTTGAGGTTAGAAAAGACTACTGAGAATATCAAGTGAATGGATCATTAAACATAGTTCTCACTTAAGGCACAAATGACCAAGCTCAAATTATCCTACTTTGGACACATTATGTAAAGATCCAGCTCTCTGGGAAAACTCTAATGCTGGATAAGTTAGAAAGAAAGAGAAGGAGAGGAGCAACAAAGTAGATAGACTCAGTTACAAGGTCATGAGTACAATCTTGGGAAATGTGGAAGAAGAGGTTAGGGACAAATCAGCTTGCAAAAAAAATCTATTTGGTTGCTAGGAATTGAAAATAGCTTGATGGCATATACTCAAATCTTTATATGCAGCCTATAAACCATATGTTTCTGGTTTCCTGTAAGCATTTTTACAACAAAGATATTGCCTTAAAAGCTGTGTAGAAAGGAAAAAAAAATATGTCCATGTTCTATCATTAGTTTGCAAGCATTTTTTTGTTCTTTGGTCCAAAGACTGATCTCATGAGATTGTAGGAGAGGAACAACTGAAAACACTGGACAATAAGTGAGTCCAGATGGTAGGCAACATTTGTCTAAAGTCCAGATTTTGTTTCCCAACTGTGGTATGCCTTGATGAGTATAATAGAATGTGAGATGAATTGAAACTGCAGCGTCCACTGAGGGATACAAATATTTTGATGCCAATAGTTTTTCCCTTGGCTCTCCTTCTGTCAACCTCTAGAAGAAAAGATTTTCTTAAATAAGCCAAAATACTGCTTATTTTCCCGATGAAAGCCATTAAGAGAGTGTAATAGTAAATTATTTGTCATCACAGCAAATTCCTTTATGTGCCCTTCCACTGCCATTTCTTATAAGCAATAAACATCATTTTTTTCTCTGAATCATTCTTTCGAATTTGGAACTATCACTACACATCCTCTTCACCACCTGTTTTCCTTGTTACCTTCTGGGAGGAGACTTCGTGGTATCCGTAGCAGAACGTCCAGATTCAGCCATAGTTTCATCCCATACAGCATTAACCTTGTGAACTCTCAAGCTTCCTCCTTCCGTTATATATTCAAGAGGGACAGTATTTAATATTTATTTGTTATGTATATGTAGGGGTGTGGGTCTATACATATGTTTAGGTATGTGTCATGTATGTGTTTCACTTTGAGAACAGGCAACTAAATTTAATTTTTGATGTGTGCCGTTGTACCCACAGTAAAAAAATGACAATAAAGGTTATCTTATCTTATCTTATCAAATCCATTTTATTCTAGGCAAAAATTCACAGTGTAGAACTCATTGTGAAAGCAAGTCTAAGAACTGAAAACACATTAATGATCTTGAAGAAAGAAAATGAAAAAATAGAGGTGAGTTCTAGCAGTTTATTTTGCATATCACAAATTCAATTTGCATGCCAGTTTAGCCAGAAAAATTATCTGTTTGTAATTAGGTGGAAAACCCAACAAATATAGAAAAAATTACTTATAAGTAACCATTCAGACCATTAGCTATATATTTGCTTGCAATATTTACTCGAACCTTGATACAGCGGTTGGTATTATACAAATTAATAAATATTTGTGAGTGTCCCTGTAGAAATAATATTTAGATATGTATAACTGGTATAATGCATAAGATGTACAATGTGTAAGATGTCAGCCCATATCATACAGTTGTCAGCTTAGTTGCTTTTTTAGATTTTGCATTTTTAAAAAAATAACGTAACAACCATGCATTATATTATTTTGGTGAATATTTATGATTTGATAGATATTCAGAAAGTATTCATTTTTATTTGGCATACACATAAAATTAAATTACTTCTTGCCTATTATATTTTTTGCTACTATTTCACTGACATTAAAAAGTTTTAACAAATTCAGGAGTATCAATGGGAAGGGCCAATGGAGTCAAACTGACAGGCACAATTGGACAACTGAAGCTCCATATTTTTGATGTATGTGCTCTGTATGTGATGCATCATATTAAACAGGACTGGAGTATAATTGCCTTGCTCAACAGGGAGATGGGTGGCATATAAAGTTAATCAATTAGTCAATAAAACCTATTTTTATTTGGAAAAAATCTAAATACTCTATTAGGATTAAGAGGTAGGTATCAACTTGCAAATCAGCAAGTATAGAACTATAGCTATAATGTAGGTGTAGAATTGGAGCATTAATATGCCTGAAATGATGAACAGTTGATATACAGTATGTGACTTATCACATTTTTATTTCCAAGGCACAAATATTTATCTGTAGAATAGAATCCACAATGCAGAAGAAACAAAATGTTTGCACTTATAGGACTATCTCATAAGTGGGACAGAATCAGAGTTCAAATATTCCTAACATTAGCATTTGTACACTTACATTTACACTTTTTAACTTTTCCCTAAACAGGTTTATTCATTAAAAAAAGCTATGTTAGAGCCAGAGTTAAGGGAGATCTATACTTCCAGTGGCTGTTTCCCATCCAACCTCTGCAGCAGATTTTGAAGACAAGTGGAAAGTTGTTGGGATAAAAATAATTGGTCCTGTCTCACTAAAAGGAACCCTTGAATCAATCCCGTTGTATTTGATAACAAAAGAATTTGAGTTTCTAATGAATAAAAAAGTAGTTCCTATTTGACTTGATGCCTCAGTTTCTATTTTAGAGAAATCATGAATGCTTGTTTTGATTTAATATCTTTCAGACAAAAATTCAAATCTCAAAGGAGCTTCTTCCTGGCCGTGTGCCATTATGGGTCATTCTGCTAAGTGTTTTTGCTGGGCTCCTGATTCTTATCTTGCTTATATTTGCATTATGGAAGGTACGATGCATTTTTCCATATTTCCCTTTTCTGAAGCCTTGGTGAATTGGCAAAGGCAAGAAGGGGAAAAACTTTCTAATTACCTGCTTAAGCAATGCCACTTAAATGATGAGCCATCCATGAATTTAAAAAAAAAAATCAATGTTTTCTATCTTGCAGTGTTACAAATGAAAACAAACTGATTCAGAAGATAATCAATGTTTTCTATCTTGCAGTGTTCCAAATGAAAACAAACTGATTCAGAAGATAATCAATGTTTTCTATCTTGCAGTGTTCCAAATGAAAACAAACTGATTCAGAAGATAGTTTTTGTTTGCCAAGATTTTGAAAGTTGGAGTATATATTCTTATTAAATGGTTTTCAGTTAATATTTATACAATCAGATTCTGAATGTTATAAAAAAACATGCAAAATATTTTGGAGTAGATTAGTGGCTGTTCAGATTGGTATTGTTATCTTGGAATTATCTGTTTGGATGGAAAGGTAATCCAAAAGAGAAAAACAGTGCTCTGAATTAGATAATGCAATATATAAGACTAAACTTTTAGTCTAAACTTGCACTTTCTTATAAACTTGGTTTTTCCTAAATGCTATTTCTCACATGTGTCTTTTTTCATGAAAGCTAACTATTTAGCTTTCTGTTTTCAATTTATATGAATATATTTTTACAAATTTCTTCTGTTGGGAATTTTTTTCATTTCTTCCCAGTGTTCCATATAAAAACACTTTATTGCTGTTATATTAACAAATTCATCTCATCAGGTTTGAAACACAGTGCACAGTGATGTGGTCTAAAACAGTTAAGACAGCTAAGTGTTATTAGTTATCTGTCCATAAGTTGGCAGCCTTGTCAAAGCTAAGAAAATAAGATCTTCACAACTTGAAACATCTTTTAGTGTTTTAGGGGATACACTGTAGTTTCATTACTTGTTTCAATTGCTATTAATGTAACCACAAAGTAACCCATTTATCATAGTTAACAACAGCAACAACAACAACATAGATAAGTTTGCATCAGTATAATAAAATAGAGAGAAGAGAGAAAATATTAAGATAGCGCCTTAGAAACAGACCAGTGGAGGATATAGAATATTAAATGATATTAGAAATAAAAGGTAGAGGATAGTAGAAATCCCAAGGTACAAAAATAAACAGCACTAGTACAAATGTGAAAAACAATGTTTTTAATTCCAAGGAGCATGCATGTTATTTTATATATTTCCATCAGAATAAATCTAGTATATATTACCAAATTAACTGATAGTTTTTTCACAATTTATATTTGTCCTAATATGGTTTTTATGACTTTTGTTCTTCTTTGTGAAAAAAAATTCTTTTTTTGCATTGGGGGGGAGCATTGGAATAATTGACACCTGGAATCTATCATTAGCTCATAGTCTGAACTTATACATGTTGCACTATAAGATTTTGCAGTTATCTCCTTTGTGTCTAATGCAGTGATTTTTAATTTGTGTTATGGTGGTTTTTTTCATTACTTTCCTTGCAGGCTGGATTTTTCAATAGGCCCTTAAGGAAGAAAATGGAGAAATGAGAAGAAACTCCAGAAAAAGAAAAAAAAAACTCTTTTAACAGTTCTGCAATGATCTGCCCTCAGGTGGACTTCTGAGATATGACTATAAATCAAATCCTTGGTTTAATGTAGGAAAAATCACAGAAGTTTTATTTCAAACAACATCATATGCTGAGCAATAAAGGAAGCAACAAGAAAAAGAAAATGAACAAACCAAAGATAGAAAAAATAATCCTGAAAGGAAACTTTCTTTTCCTTTTTTATAGTGAACAGAAGAGAAAAATCTGTACAACTGTTCTGAACTTGGAACTTTTTTTTCAGATAACTTTTTCTTCATGGATATACAAGCAACTTTGAAGCCAAGGTGTATTCAAAACTAGGGAGAGCAGACAGACAATTTACTCCTCAGATTTTACCCATTATTTTTAAAATTGTCAATTATTTTTAGAACACAAGCCACAGCTTTGTATCTCTAATGTATGCACAGGTACATACATCCTACTGAACTGAATTTGAGGATTTCAAACAATTTCTGACATGCATAAGAAACATCTGCAACTTTTTTTTTATCATCATTCTTAAATGGGGAAGAAGCCTATAGTCAAAGATGGGCATGCTACTGTTTTGGAAAATATTTATCCAGGAGGAAAAACACCCCTCAGAAATTAGCAACTGCACCATAAAATTTCACAAAGTGTTATCTATCAAGCATCAGATGGAGTTCCCTGCCTTTTGTATAACTGTAGAAGAATGATTACTTAATAGCTAAGGTCATATTTGTATGCAGAGCATCCCAAGTACATTCCTTGGTATCTCCAATTTGAGAAGTAAAAATACACATCCAGAAAACAGAAAACCTGTTATACATCATTCTGAATTAGTGAATGCTATGTGTTATGATTTAATACCAGAAAGGTTATATTTCTCATAAATTAAAAGTGTGCAGATAAAAGTCTATACAGGGTCTTATATTTAGTTTACTTCTAAACTAAAATATAAACTTTTAACTATTTTGTGCATGTAAAAAAATGAAGAAGGGACTTCATTTACAGTGAAGGGATGAATTTGAAAGCCATGCCATTCCTTCATATAGGGAGAAATTAGCCTCCCCTTATGGCTGAAATAGGTCATAAGACTACATTACAATCATGCATGACTCTGAACCAGCTGTTATTTCTCCATAGTGTATATACCCTCGGCAATGTTTTCAGGTACTGTTTATATTGACCACCAGGAGGCAGTACAGTACTGGTTTTCTAATAAAGATAAAAGCGAGAGCACATTGCTTCCTGGAGTTCAATCTAATAGGCTAAGAATAATTATCTGCAAAGATGATTTCACTGTTTTCTCATTACTAATGATGAATCCTTGAAAATATATTGCTTCATATTTAGTGGAAAATATGAAAAATTATTTTTGTTTTCCTAAAAAAGTTAAATCATAGTGCTTTAATTTATTACACATAGAACATGGATCTTTGTGCAAGTCACTAATGCTAAATTTCCCTGAAGATTTGTTAGCAGAAAATAAGATACTTTTTTTTTTGCCTTCATATCAGTGACTACATGTAGAAGTCCATGCAGTTTTCCAGACAATGGTTTATAGCCTTCTTCCCAAGGCTGAGAGGGAGTGACTAGCCCAGCCGGCTTCAGGGTCCTAGGCAAGACTAGAATTCAAATTCCCCTGCTCCATTTTTTTAACCAGCAGACCACTGGAATATCAAACACTATAATAAGGCAGTAAAGCAAATGTTTTTAACAAAAATTCAACATGACATGACCATCATAGATGTTATTTATGCATTTACATAATGATTTATTTTCATTATTTTCCTCAGATGCTTTTTGTTGCTGTTTTAGCCACCATGCTTTTCCTTACTGAAAAGGTGATCGGTTTTGTATTTCCCTTTTCAAATATTACAGGAATGTTTGAACTTTATACCGGTGCTCACAAATTCTATTGTGAATTGTACAATCTTCCCATATCAGTCTGCCAGTAGATGTAATTTAAATATTTGTTCAAATAGCCTTTTAGAATACTTCGTTATTTATGTTAAATATTAACATTTTATCAATCCACTGGAATTTGGGAGATGTTATGCTGAACAATTCTTGTACATAAATAGACCATTCTGATTTTTTTTTAAAAAAAAATCCAAATCTGAAATATATCTGAAGACTTATTATTGGAGAATTACATACCAAAGGCAATAAAAAGCGGCCCATATTAGAAATTCTGCAAATCATGAAATTGATAGAACAGGATTTTCTCAGAAGTGCAGTTTCATTTGGATACATATATATTTCCTACTAGAGCTTCTATAGTAGGCATGTCAAACTGCCGGCCCATGGGCCGGATGCGTCACACCAAAACCGCGCCCACCCATTGCTGGCGCCCACGATACATCGTGCGACATCATGTGACGTCACGAGTTTGACATGCCTGTTCTGTAGTTTTTATTTCAAATATTTCAGTTCTATTTTTACATGTTTCCCAAATATGAATTAAAACAGTTTGAATATGTGTAAAAAGCAGTGATGAGGTTTTGAGTCATGCATGCAACAAAATTCCAATTTAAATGCATTACAAACAATAAGAATTCAGATCAGGATTGAAATAAAACAAGGTATCCTGTAGAACTACTTTTAGATGTATGGACTTCAAGTCCCAGAATTCCCCAGCCACCAAGGGAACTGTTTTAGTTTTATCTACAAGAGGTCTATGACCTGTTAGGAACTGGGTCACACAGCTGGAAGTGAGTAGCGAGTCAGTGAGCAAAACCAAAACCATCCCCCCACCCTTCCTTGTCTGTGGAAAAATTGTCTTCCACTAAACCAGTCCCTTGTGCCAAAAAGGTTGGGGACCACTGATCCAGACAGTGTTTGCACAAAGTGTTTTCCCTACTGAAAAAGTAAACAAAATTGTATTTCCCTTTTCAAGCATTACAGGGATGTTTGTATTTCATATTGATGCCCTCAAATTTTGTGACTTCATTGTGAGTTGTACAGTTTTCCCATATCAAGGCTGGCTACGGAATTCTGGGAGGTGAAGTCCACTCCTCTTATAATTCCAAGGTTGAGAAACACTGCTATAAATTATCAAATGGACTTTAATTTGCTACTTATAAATTGAGGAATTATTTAAGTGGCTAAATTTAATGTCTTAAATATTGATTTGTACTGTACATAGTACAGCATATAGATAAAGTATTCTGGACTAGATAAAATATTTTAAGCAGTTTAGAATACTAATAACCACTACTGAACACTATGGTCTAAATCAGGGGTGTCAAACTGTTAGCCCATGGGCCGGATGCGTCATGCGGAAGCCGCGCCCACCCCATTGTCGGCAATGGCAAAACAGTCCCGATATGTTGCGCAACATCACATGACATCACGAGTTTGACATGTCTGGTCTAAATCTACTTGAACTTAACCAAGAGTGACAAAGTCCAATTTAAAAGTCCAATATTAGCTGTACAAATATTATGACTTTATTTAGATAGTGATTGCCGGGTGTAGCCACTGTACTTATTTTAATGGAATTTAGTTTCAAATATTCATAGGAACATGGCCTAGAAGCAACTGCATTCGATAATTTTAAATATTCTAGTTAAAGACTGTTCAAATGCCCTAGAGAAAAAAGGCCATAAATTGGGAGTACAATGCGACACAATATAAAAAATACATTTCCCTCACTTGTACCATTGTTGTGTCTAATAAACTGTTTATTGTGCACCTGTCATTTCAAGAGCAGAATATTGATAAATGCATGATTTTGAAATAGAAATTTAGTATTCATTTCACAATTTAATTTTCTTTTCATGTGGAATGTTTCATCTATGTCTCTATAATTATTATCTCCACACACATCAAGGATCTCTAGGGCACAGTATTTGGTTTTGAACTAGGATTCTAAATTTTCTTCTGATATATTAAGAATCAATTTGCAATAGGAAATGATGAGAATCCATTTTGCCCCATTACTGGCTATCAAGACGATGAACATGACAATGCAATCAAAGCTCCATTTTTTTGGTGGGGCACATAAACATGTGGACTTTCTTTGCAGCTGCCAACTTGACCTTTATCCATGCAAAATTGGGTTCAAAATACAATTTTCAATTCATAATTTGGAAAAAGGAAAAAAAGCGGACATTATATAAAGACAGAACATTCATAGAAGCTTTTTGTTCACCATGGAACTCTATATGCTCCTTAATATTGTATGCCATGCAAGTAAATTTCACCAAAATCATCTTCTCCTTGTGTATTTAAAAAAAGGAGTCATCAAATTCTTTGAAAAATTCCCGGTGAAATACCATTTTATACAGAGCTTAAAAAAAAAAACATTCTGTCCATTATATCATGTTGAGATAAAGGCCTGACTCATGACTTGCAGCATCGATAGAAGTAACATGCCATGTATTCATTTCCATTTTTTTCTGTAAATGTTATTTGTGTGTCGGAGATTATATGAATGTATATGTGTGTTACTAATATAATTACACAACCTTGTCTGAAATTGTGAATAAAACTCTTTGCTTAGTCATAATTTATCAGACACTACATGAAGATTTACAACTTGAGATCTATTAATAATTATGACTGTCGCTGACCAAAATTTGAAAAAGTCCCTCAGGATTGGCTGATTAAACACTTACTACTTTCTATTAATTCTGCCCATGTATGGATAGGATCACAAAGAAGCCTTCATTTCCTTCCTTTATAGTTTGAAATTTTATATTAGACCCAGATTCGTATATTTATGAGAGGTATTCATCTTATTTTGTGTTAGATAAAGAACAAGTGAACTGTAATTTAACTTTACTGACAAATTAGTGTCACTCATGGAATGGCAAGCTATAATATAGTTTATTTTTGGCTGGTGAGCCCACTAACAGACATCACTCTATGCCCCGGTACCTCAATTCATTAAAAGCCAAACTAAGTTTTGCAGGAAAAGTAATCATAGTTTGTTAGCTAATTCTTGGTTTGTTTCCTTTCCCTCCTTTATTACCTGCTTCTTCCTTGCATAAACATAGAGGATTAAAAAGGACAAAACAAACAAACAAAATGGGGGACCAAAAATTAACTATATATTTCCATTTATATACCAAGTTAAGCCACAGTTATAACCAATATGGCAACAAACCACATTATAACTTAGCATAATGTGTAAACTAAATCTTATTACAATATTCATTCTAGCAATTCTAGAAGGTAGATCACTAACAAACCCCATATTGCAGATGGATAACTGAAGCACAAGGTTGGTGTTAAATGGCCTTAGATGTGATAAAAGTAAGATTTGCAGTAGGGGCATTTTAATTTGGTGTAGTCTGGTGTAAGGTCAGGAACTTGAACTGATACCATTAGAAGTCCATGTTCATAACCTCACTTGATTATGATTCTCACTGGATGATTTGAGGCCATTTCCTTTTTCAGCCCAGTTTACTTCACATGTTATTTAGAAGGATAAAATTATTTACTAGGTTATGGCATACACTCTGATGACCATGTAAACAATCTCAAACTCAATAGAAAAAAAACATAGAATATGTTTTCAATCAATACTCTTAAATCAGTTTTTTTTTAGCTGCTGCTATAGCTCTGCTATAGCAAGAGCAGACTGCTTGATCTTTTTATTACCTTTAGACAGCTACATGGCCCTATATAACCACAGCTACTACAGTTAGTCCTCAACTTATGGCCATTTATTTAGTGACCCTTTAAAGTTACAATGCCACTAAAAAAGTAATGACAGATCCTCACGCTTATGAGTGTCTCAATGTCCCCACGTTCATGTAATTGTGATCCCAGCTGCTTGGCAACAGGCTTACATTTATTATATTTGCAGCATCCTGGTCTCATGATCACCATGTGCAACCTTTGCAGCCAGCTTCTGACAAGCAAATTCACTGGAGAAGCCAGCAGAGAATGTGCAATCATGGTCACATGATATCTCACTTAACGACCATACTACTTAACCAATTTTCTGGTCCTAATTGTGGACATAAGTTGCGGCCTACCCATAGACATGACAAGATATGGAATACAAGGCAGATTTGTTTCTATTTTCTACTTAAACTATGTGCCAGGATATAGGGAGAAGTGAATTTAGTTATTACTGAGTCTTTGTTTATTTATTCATTTATTTATCAAATGTATATGGCTGCCCAACTCATGGTCACCCCAGGCAGCTTACAAAAATAAAACTCCAATACAAGAGCCAATATTAAGAGAAAGGCATATAAAACTATGATTGTATGTTTTTTCTAATATATTATTCCATTGAATAGTGAATATTCCAATCTATCATATTTATGTGTATTATCTTCAGTTGACAAACACCAGGTAGACTGTTATACTTTTTTTTAAAGAAATTTTAAAAAAACAATACTTGTCTTATAAAGGGGATTTTGGGTCACCAAAGTGCTTGCAATTTCTTTGTTGTTTTTCTGCAGAGCTAAAATTGCTAATACTTAGGAAATGTTTAATCTAAATGTTTGTAGAACATTAATAAAAGGCTGGTGTGGAGCTATCATTCCTTGGACAATTTCTGGGATATTCTCTGCTATACAAAAAAGAATGCCCAGCAGATAAGCAGAGAAAAATAATTTAAAAATCACCAAAATCTCAGATCCCTAAATCTTCCAATATTTCAGTTGTGACTAATAATTTCTTGTGAGATTTGTCAATACAATTTTTTGGCAACATTTTCAGAAGTGGTTTGTTCTTGGTTTTCTTCCTAGGGAAAATAACTGATTCAAAGTCATCCATCTAGTTTCATATATAAAGCACGACTACAACTCAATGGTTTCCTGTTACAAGTCTGGTGCGTGGCACCACTACATCCAACTGAATATGGATAGAATAGAGCTGGAACGGAATTTGGAGGTCTTCTACTCCAGCCCCCTGCTCAAGCAGGAGGACCTATACCATCTCAGTCAAGTGACTGTCTAGCTCTTCTTAAAAATCTCCAGTGATGGGGCACCCATGATTTCTGGAGGCAAGCTTTTCCACTGGTTAATTGTCCTCTTTGTCAGGAATTTCTCCTCGATTCCAAGTTACTTCTCTCTTTGATCAGTTTCCAACCATTGTTTCTTGTCCTGCCCTCTGGTGCTTTGGTGAATAACATGACCCTCTCTTATTGGTGGCAGCCCCTCAAATACTGGAATATTGCTATCATGTCTCCCCTATTTTTTCTTGTCTTTAGACTAGCCAAACCCAAGTCCTGCAGCTGTTCTTTGTATGTTTTAGTCTCCAGGCCTTTAATGATCCTAGTTGCTCTTCTCTGAATTTTTTTCCAAACTCTCAGCATCTTTTTTTGTGATATGGTGACCAAAATTGGCTGCAGTATTCCAGGTATGGTCTTACTAGGGTTGTATAAATTGATACTAATACTTCGTGTGATCTTGATTCTATGCCTCTGTTTATACAACCCAGGATTGTATTAGCTTTTTTGGCTGCTGTTGTACACTGCTGTCTCATAGTCAAGTGATCATCCACTAGGACTCCAAGGTCCTTCTCACAGTTACTGTTTTTAAGCCAGGTCTCGTCCAATCTGTACTTGTACCTTTGATTTTTCCTGCCTAAATGTAAAACTTTGCTTTTCTCCACATAGAAACTCATTTTGTTAGATAGGGCCCATTGTTCAAGTTTGTCAAGATCTTTTGGATCATGAGTTTATCTTCTGGCTACTCCTGCCAGTTTGATGTCATCTGCAAACTTGACGAGTTCCCCTTCAATTCCCTCATCTAAGTCATTGATGAAGATATTGAAGAGTACTGGCTCTCATGTGCATGTTATATTCAGGGGCACTTGAATAAAATGCCATGTCTAGCATCTTATCTACTTTGATATTGTCTTCCTTTTCCCCTTCTGGACTCCAAAGCCCTCAAGTTAAAGAGCTTTCATATTCTGTATAGGACAGTTCTGTTCCCTGTTTATTTCCTGAGTCATACAGAAGTCTTCACTGTTTTTGCCTAGAGCAGCCAAGTCAAAATTTTGCTTCACGTACACAAAATAACACAAAATAACCTTACTGCACATAGACAGATAAGGAAAATAATCCACACTTGGTTTAATGGAAGTAAAACAAATATTTAGTCATATCCATGATTAGGAAACACAAAGTAACAGAATAACAGATTTGGAAGGGATCTTGGAGATCATCTAATCCAACCCACAGTTCAAGCAGGAGACCCTATGCTATTTCAAACAAAGTTGTCCAATCTTTTCTTAAAAACCTCCAGTGATGGAGCATCCACAACCTCTTAAGGCAAGGCATTTCACTGATTAATTGTTCTAACTGACAGAAATTTCTCCTTATTTCTAACTTGGTAAGTATAAAAACTGTTATCCACTACCTGTAGAAATAAAGAGAAATAAATACTAAGGTATAACATTGGTATTCATATAAGATATGTCTCTTTAAAAAAAAAACAGACTAGTAAGGAAAAGAACATATTTCTGTATAGTTGTCTGGTTTGATTTGCATGTACACAGTTCTTAGCATTTTACTATTAAACACACTGTATATGTGCATCTCTTTAAAAAGGTTTGTAGCAGATTTCACACATTGTGGTAAGGGTTGGGGTTTTAAGATTTTGGCTTTTTGAAAAAGCCATGGAGGTCTAGCTTGCACACAACAATAATCTGTAAGCCACAATTGTACCCACACAATGGGTTTATATTGCACTAGCTAAAATCAGACAAATGATATGATGCCTTAGCATAATGTTAAACTTGGCAAGTGTTTACCTATCACAGCCTTACATGATGTTTTCCCCTTAGTCTTTAGAAAAGTAGAAAAAAAACTGCTCCTGAAGAAGGAGGAAATCTTCCAATAATAACTACATTGTTAAAATATCACTACCTCTCCGTGGAGCCTAAGAACTGTAGAACGAATTTGGCTCATTTATTTCTAATTTCCACCATTCCAATTTCCCTGTAGCTTTTCTAAATGACTCAGTGGTTTCTCCCACGCTGCTAACAACCATCCTGAGGAATGCAGGAAATAGAACATATTGTGTAAATGCAATATAGTGCACAAATAGATTAGCAATCTGACATACAAACAGGGGTTGGCTTTATCAGATGAGAAATTATGACAGAAACATCCTGTCCCTTCAGTTCTTTAAATATTAATTAGCAGGCAGGAACATTCTTCAACATTTATACAAACCATTGAGTGTTCACAATAACAAATACAAGGACTCAAAACTTATTTGGAAACCTCATGATGTCAGTGAAAAAATAAATTTATTACCACAAAAAATAGGAATCCACTTATTCCAATGTGGTAACATAAACATTGCATAATTCTCAAACAAGAACTGCCATATAAAGACATTGCTTTTATTATATTTTAGACTTCCTTTCCACTCAGCATTCCATCCCACAGTTCATGAATAGGTAGCATGAAATACTCTCTGTCATCATATGAACAAGCACTTTCAATGTTTATTTAAGGAAATGTCACATATCGCTTTAACTTGGCATGCCTTATTATTTGTACTGTCTACAAATTAGACTAAATTTAATATAATTTATATTAGGAAGGCTTGGAGAAGCATCTAGCCAATCTCAGCTGGTCCTTTAAAATTAACCAATCTAAATCCTGTTTAAGATCAAATAATTAAAACTATTACTTTAATTTTTGTTCTAAGTTCCATTGAGTTCTTTGTCCTGATTCTGCCTATTTTTTATTTTTTTTTAGAATGTCATTCCAGTGTATTATTAAAAAGCCACCTCCACTCTCAGTCTTGAAAAACTGTATGGCTCTGGTATATATAGTAAGCATGCCTAGCGTTTTGTATGTGTGTTATGCTAAAGAACTGAGAAAAGATAAAAATGTAATAAAATGCAGTAAAAATGACTTGGAAGCATGCAATCAGGAAACTAAGGTGAATATGGAAATATACAGGGAATTATAAAGCTTGATTCCAGTAAAGCATTTTACAAAGACACAAATAAGATCTTTAAAAATCTCAATAGAAATAAGTAGAAATGAGCCAAGAGCCCAACAGAAATAAGCAAAAAAAAAATACCAGAAAGAAATTTATATAATAGAGACTGTGAGGGCATAACATTCTATGGAGATAACCTTACAGAAACTATTCAGAAACATTGCAAAACCCAAATGTACAGACAATGCACTTAGTCTAAGGAAGCGCGAAAGTATTAAAAAGACTATTTCCTCGCATATAAGAGAACTGGGTCTAAGAGAACTCAGAATTTTACCTTAAGAAAGATTTAGTCTTCAAACTTGGAATTAGAGCTACTGAATCCAGGTTGTAGAATTCCATATGACCATTAGAAGGCAGCAAAGAGACCTTTTACAAGATACTGTAATTTTTACCCCAGACACTAAAATAGTTCTATTGAATAGATGACACACAGAATAATATCAATGTATGTTCTCTATAATGAAGGGACGGAACAAGAATCTCAGGTATAAGAAGGGAGGGCCCTAATAGTATGAACTGTCTGAAGGGGAACAACTTACCTCCTTGTAGCTCCCTAATTAATGAGCTTCATTTCAAAGCCTGTTATTAAGAATGTCTTGAAGCAGAGGTGGAATAGCCATCTAGCAGGGGGTGTTTTGATTTAGATTATTCCTCTGAACAATTCATTGGCCAAAATTGTTCCCTCCAATTCTTTGTATACATAACTGATGTAAGGAGGATGATATCGCCAATTCTAGGAAAGGAAGAAGCAATGATGCAACATTCAGAGTTTTTTTTTCTTTTTTTGCAGTTGGGAGTGTTTTTTTTTTTATCTTCTAGCTCTAGACAGGATATAATCACAGTGTAATGAGACATCTACATATGAGTTCATACCTTAGAAATTTTAAAATGTAAGAAGGGAACATTTCCTTTTTATTAACTCATTTATTGTATTTATTTCCTGCCTTACTCTGAGATCAAAAGGGCATAATAGATCCTTCCTTGTCTTCTCAAGAACTCTGCAATAACCAAGGCTATCCAGACTTGGTCAGAAGTCAAATTATATAAATTAGTATATTGTAGATATCAAAGAAAACATAAGTTAATGACTTCCTTCTGGGGAGTACTTGAGAAAGCTAGACATGTTGATGGCTGATTGCAGGAACACATATACATGACAGAGCAGTCAATGAGTTATGAAAAGGCAAGTCTCTACTTATATTGTTCATGACATTTAACAATGTTTTCTTAGTAACTCGCATTACTAGGGAGAAGGTTGGGGACAAATAATATTACTGGAAAACTAACTTTCTTGTGTCTCCAATGATCAACAAATAAAATATAGAGTTGCTCTGGCGTCTGCTATAGTTAAGAAGAAACTACCCTTGTATTCCAAATACTGTAAGAGCAGTGCACTTGAAACTGTACTGAAATAAAAAGTCTCTAATTTTTGTTCCAACTTCTTAGTCTAGGGCCTAGGCCAGTTATGGAGAACTTTTTAGAGACCGAGTGCTCAAACTATAACCCAAAACCCACTTATGCATCATCAGGTGCCAGGTGGGCGTGGCCCACTGGGTGGGCATGGCTGTGGTAGTAACGGCAGACTGGGTGGGACTAAAAAGTTCAATCAATCAATTCCAACTTTGCGAGATCTTTTTTTTCTCCGCCAGAAGTTGAAATTGATTGATTGACTGAATCTTTTTTTTTTTTTTTTTGCACACGGCGGTGGAGGCTTAAAGCGAAAAAGTTTTATAAAACCCAGCTGAAGGCCTAGGACTGGGGCGACAGCACACGTGCCCACAGAGAGGGCTCTGAGTGCCACTTGTGGCACACGTGCCATAGGTTCGCCACCACGGGCCTAGGCTGTAGCCTTTGGATTGTTCTAGTGATCTTAAATACTTTAAAAAAAAAAATCTAGCCTGGCTTAGTTTTTGAGTCAGATAACATCAGCAAGGTTGTCACCTGCTGAGAAAAAAATATATTTGTTATATAGTACATGGCATGCCAAACATCCATAAATTTTCTTTTTGGGGGGGAAGGGAGGGGAAATAGGAAATAACATTTTTTAGCTCAATTGTCAGTGGGACACATCCACACAAATGTTTTGACCACAGCTCAGAAATGATTTGATACTGCCTTTTTTCAGGGTGTTTTTGACTTCCCACTCTAGGAAGGATTTCATTGTGGTCTTCTATCCCAGTACTAAGGGGAATCAACAGTGGCTTGCTTTTCTGATCCAGAAAAGATCAATCAGTGCCTTACATGCTCATATATGTTTGAGTCATTCTGTCCATTCTGTCCTACTAATTAAAACACTAAAATACTTCTCTTCCAATTACTGTACACAACCTATAGCTTGCTTTAGGTGCCAGTGCCTAAGACCACAGAATAAGACCACATAGTGCACCCACACCAACAAAAATCACCAAAGCTTTCTCTCCCCCTTCGGAGTGGGTTTTCCCGCATAATTTATACATCACATACCTCCCCTCCTAAACGAGCCCTGATGGAGCCACGAAGGATGAGAAGAGACAGCGCATCTCTGAATTCCTTTCACACAATTCTGTCGAGGTTATGTTCGTTCCCGCCTCTTCTTTACCTCTCTCTTCTTACTTTGGCCCTCACCGACTAGCTAGCAGGAAGCGGGCACGAGGCCAGAAAGCTCGTTTTGCTGCACGTCTTAAAACACCGGGGCGGAAGAGTTTTTTATTTGTGGCGCGCGAGGGAGTAAGAGGAGGGGCTTAAAAACTTGGCGAGCGGGGAGGGCAGGAACAGCTCTCCTGTTCCGAGGGACCCTCGAGGCGATGCAGAGCGCGCCAGGTGGGCGGAGCTGCTCGGGTACTTAGCGCTGTTGCCCTGTGCCTGCCGGCGCTGCTGCAATCTCCGCTCCTTCTGGGAACAATGGGTGATCGCAGGCGAGTTCTGGGCTGCCTGGCTCTCCTGAGCCTCCTCGGCTTAAGTAAGTTGTGGCGTTCTTTTATTCGGGCGACGGTGTGTGTGTGTGTGTGTTGTGTGTATGTGTTGTTTCAGCTGTGAGCGACTCCAGAATGGGAGTCTCCTCCATCCAGTCGCACGCAGACTCGAGGGATGCTCTTCTGAAAAGTTCCCCAACTCGGGGAAGAGGCCTTTCCGAACACGCTTTTAATTGTAACACGTTTCCCTCTCTCCTTCGAGCAGGCTGGAACAGGTGCCGTCTAGCCCGATGGAAGCTTGGCGATCCTGCATAGCTCCCCGGGAGCTATGAGCGTTGTTGAACACCAGTGGATAGTCTACAGTGTACTTTCTGAAGGCAGTGTGCAAGATTGTGTTATAGGTCCCGCGTTGAGGTCAAAGGAAGGGAGGTTTTGATGAACCTCCAGGCTGGGTGACTCTCTTTACTTTTGCTTATTATTTGCTGCATTTCCAAAAACTGCTGTTGGAGAAACGTTCTCTGTACTGCTGTCCCATAAAAGCAACGGGATGAGTAGTCACACAGAAAGAGAAGCTCTCAATTACCTGGTCCTTATTGGATTACAGTAGGGCACTCAAGCTGTGGAAAAGGAATGAAACTTAGTGGCTGAGCTCAGGTTGATCACAGAGATCTTAAATTTACTCCATAGGGTTGTTGTGAAGATAACTTATATATTTTATATGCTGTTTTTATGCTTTTACTATATGATTTCCCTGGGGTGGGCAGTTCTTAAATATGATAAAATAACTAAATAAATAAACTTGAGGTGAAGCCCTGCAGGTCCCCTTTAAGCATTTAGGGAGCTATATATGTAAATAAATATAACATTAAGACTGATATTACTCTTTTCAGATCAGTTTAGCTATAAACCTTTTTGATATATGGTTTCAAGTCAATGTTCATTTCTGGAGACTGTCTGGACTAGTCCCTGCATTTGTCTTGGCAAGAATTCAGAAGTGATTTGCTATTGCCATTTTTCTGGGGCTGAGTCAGAGTAACTGGCTTGAGGTCATCCAACTGGCTTCGTGCCTATGGCAGGACTAGAACTCATTGTCTCCCAGTTTCTCGCTTGGTGCCACTACTCCAAATTGTGCCTGTATAAACCAAACTTGAATACTTTATTTCAGTAATTCTTATACCCCTGTTGTAAAATAAATTAATATTATCTTCCTGATATCACCAATTTATATGAGTTATTTCACATAACATGCTTCATTTTAGCCATTTTTTTACAAATGCAATGCAGAGTTCATGTAACATAATAAATCATATTATGGCTTATTGTGTTGGATGAACTCAGACACAGTGTGATTTTGAGAAGTAAGATTGTTTGAACTCAGTGGCACTAAATGTCTATGGAGATTCTTGGTCATCCAGGTCATGGTTGTTCGAAAGGTGCTTTTGCAAGAGGCAACTGGACTTTCTTGTTGTTCTTTGAAGACATTTCGCTTCTCATCCAAGAAGCTTCTTCAGTAGCATTAGCTTCCAAATAAATAGATAAAGGAATTTTGCTGAATTTAGTCAGAGTCATACCTAAATGGAGGACTGCAGTTCAAAAATGAGATGTTATCTGAAGACTATAATAATAACAAAGTTGGAAGGGACCTTGGAGGTCATCTAGTCCAACCCCCTACTCAGGCAGGAAACCCTACACCATTTTGGACAAATGGCTGTCCAGTCTCTTCTTAAAAACTTCCAGTGTTGGAGCATTCACCACTTCTGGAGGCAGGTTATTCCACTGGTTAATTGTTCTAACTTCAGGATGAGGTTGAATCATTTCCAGACTGCAGGCATCATTCTGTTTAGTCTAATTTATATTTACAGTTTGTTCATTAAATTCATGCCAGAATCTATGGACTAGACTCACTAGAGCAGTGGTTCTCAACCTATGGGTCGGGACCCCATTTGGGGTCGAATGACCATTTCATGGGGGTCGCCAAACCACGCTGTCCGCCATTTTTTTCCCTTTTCCCTAGCTGTCCTACTCCCTCTTATTGGTGGCCACACCCACTTGGGGGTCACCACAACATGGGGAACTGTATTATGGGGTCACGGCATTAGAAAGGTTGAGAACCACTGCACTAGAGCATCTTTTCTTCACCAGAGCTGGTTACATGATTTTGGAGACATTGATGGTGCCCTTTTATTAACAGGAGGCAGAAGAGATAAAGTACACTTTATTGTTTAGATTAAGTGAATGTGAACTGTGGATATATGAATTCGGTTGATGAGTTAAGACTCCTTACAGCCATTTTTTGTCATAATATTTTCACCCTAACATTCCAGAGTGTAAAAAATCAGTCTGCTATTTCATCCCAGCTTGTTATTAAGCTGGATGGCATACAGAAATATTTACCTGTGAGAAGTTCCAACTTGTTCCTAACTAAGGGAGACATTTAAGAATGTAACAGCGCTTCAGGGACCAAACCAGATACAGAGACATTAACTTTTTGCAAGAATGGTGCATGCAGAACGGCCTGTATTTTGTGCTCTTTTCTGAAAGAATGAATTTGTCAGAACATGGAACATTCTCTCTGCATTTTTATTTAATCTGTCCTTTATTCTGCTGGTGAAAGTGACTGGGGCTTAAACAAAGGCACTGGGTTCTAAAAGGCACTTGGCTAGAGTAACGGAGTTATGCCAACGTTGTTAAAACATAATGGGTGGAAGTTGGAACGTGAAACTGAGTGCCTCATTGCTGAGAGCTACAGCAAAAGAAAAGCTTGTACTCATAATTTAATGACTTAAATTACTAATTATACTGAGTTTAAACTTTCTAAAATTTGAATAGGGAGAAATGCTTAAAGAATGGCTTAGCCTTAATGTTAAGCTACATTTGCTTATACCACAGTTTGTGGCATATCTATCTACAAGTGGATCATTCACACAATACTTAGCTTAATCATGTTATGGTTTGCTACACTTACTATAGTTTGGGGGGATGGGCAGGTGCTACTGTTTTGGTCCATAGGACCAGCAGTACATTGCCAGTCTGTTGCTGAAGTTTAGAGGTGGGGGTAGGATCTTACAAAGTATTAAAGGCATCCATTTTTGCCTCTTAAACTCCATTCAATCAGAAAAAAATCTGCCTAGTATTGAAATGGTTGGATTTCTTAAAGGATGAAAATCCTACTTTACCTCTTCGCAAGATTTAAGAAACGAATTTTGCTACTTAGACTCTCTCCTTCAAAAGCTAAGTGGACTAAAGATTTATTTGCAATTATTCTGAATGGTCTCAGGGCTGCAAAAGAGATGCAACTGTAATTTACCTTGTGGGATATAGTTTAAAGTTTTATCCATTAGTTGCAGTCCCTGCTAGGAGTTTTCTCTTGTTCCAATAGCAAAAAAAGGAATACACAATTTATTTTCCTCCAGTTGCCCCACCTGTACCTGATGTGAGTCAGCAATTATATCAAAACATATATAGGCTAACCCAGAAGAATGGGTGGGACTGCATAAATTCTCTTCTCTCTGAAATGATGCCAAAGTATTAAACATATAAAAATGATGCGGGGGGGGGGACGGGGGGGGAAACAAGACTATTAAATCATTTTAAGAGCAAATCTGGCTATTGAATTTTCAGTGGTGTCAAAAAAGATGCACTAGTTTCTGGGAAGGAGAATGCCAGAACAGAACAGAACATAAGAGTTACTTTAAATGTTCAATAATCAGCATATATCAAAATGAGATTTCGTTGCATTCAGCTCTCAAAAAAATACCATTATGCATATACTCACACATACACACATATATGACACAGAGAAACATCACAGTCTAGTTCAAATGTAGGCAAAAAAAAGAAAAAATCCTGCGAATTTACAAAACAGATGCATAAGGAACAAAGCTGTTACAGAATCTAGTAGTTCTGCTATAAATACTTTGAAACCCTCTCCCAAACGGCAGCAACAGAAACAGACTGTGAAGTGGGTGTATGGGGTCTCTAACAATGGTTCAAGCTTTAAGCACATCATGCTTATAAGCAGTATCCTGAATAACAGGAAGTGAGTTTGTTAAAATGCTTCAATTGTGCCTCTATAGAAAGTGGCCAGAACAGAAGGAGAAAGATGTTCTCTCCTCATTTGATGCAAGAAATGCAAATGCTGGTTTGCACACACTACACTAAAGATAACATATGAAGAGACCAAGTCAGATTGTTAGTTATCTACATCCCCAGGTACTTAATGCTATTGACCTCCACAGCTGCAGCCTTGATACAAGGTGGAGTATGATTATGCTGCCTCTTTCTAAAATCAACAATGATCTCCTTTGTTTCATTATCATTCAAAACCAACTTATTTTTACTGCACCAGTCCACCAAAGCCTTCACCTCCCTATAAGAATCTTCATTATCATCCTGGATAAGACCCACCGCAGCCTTCACAATATGATTCGTAGCAGATTCAGCACAGAAGTCATGGATCATCAAGGTGAACAGTAACGGACTCAGAACACAGCCCTGTTGGGAACCCATACTCAGAAAGGTGGAACTGGAAAGTTTTCTTCCAACTTGCACAAACTGGGACCTATTAATAAGGAAGTCAAGTATCCAGTTATGTGAGGAGTATTAAAACTTAATAGGCCCACTTTGTTCACCAAATGCTGAGGAATGATTATATTGAACACTGAACTAAAATCAACAAACAGCATTTGCACTTGAATATTTTTCTCCTCCAGGTGCGCCAAACAAATGAAGCACAAAAGTGCATAATCTATGGAGCGGTTCTTATAAGCAAACTGTAAATGACTATTAATGACTTAAATTATTGATTATGTTAAATTTCAACTTTCTAAAAGTTGAATAGGAAAAGTTAGTCAAATTAGTGTCCCTAATAGCTAAATGCAGAGGCATTAACTACTTTAAATGCATGTTATTTCAAAGGGTTTCCCACTTCCTAATTCCTACTTCTTGAACTTTAAAAGCATCAGGCATTAGAATATTTGCGTGACATATAAAACTTGCTAAAGTTTTTCATGACTCAATTTAGATCTTTATGTCAGGGGTCCTCAAT